CTGGTTCCTACCCCCCCCCCCCCCTCCTTGTGAATGTTTCATTAGAACCTCTGTTAATGTATTTGTGTTATCTGTTTATTGTAAAAGTTGAAGTCGAAATGTGTGAACTGACAACACTGAGGAATATCTGGCAGTGCAAGTGTTCATCATGTAGCTGGCAGGATCCTGTTACTTTAAGTTGATTATAAATGGCCTGTATACATTAGTGCAGTTATGAATACTAAAAAAAGGAATCCAGACTTTCAGCATCCAGGACTGTAAATAAAGTCTGTGTGTAGCTAAAACTTTTTTTTCTAGTTTTGGATAGAGTAGGAAATGATTAGAATCTCAGTTCTTTTTATTTGTATCTCCATTCAAGAGATTTCACCTTCTCTATTGGTCACGCTGTCCACTGTCACTGTAGTAAAAAGAACTAGAACAGAAAGAGGTAATTCTTACAATGGGGACACCTATTACACTGACAAAGATTTCTCCCCCCCCCCTTCCTAAATCTCTGACAGGGAGTGAAGGGAAATCTCCATTCACAGCACAGAGATGGCAAAAAAGGGCAGTGCTTTTATTACTTCATCCAATTACTTCATACAAAAAAAAAGTTTTGATTGTACATACCCTGTAAGTTGTAGAGATCATACATGTTTCCATTAAATATAATAGAACATAGGGATATAATAGAAATATGTCTGTATATAGTTGTATGCAGGTGACGCAAATAAAACATGTTGCATAGAAAGTGAACAAATACTGCCTCAAAATGCTTATTATATACATACCTCCTATAGAAAGAGTCATGTGAGAAATATGGGGGCTGCTATTGCCGAACTCTGTGAAACTTTCAGAAAGACAGCAGCCGCTGTATTTCTCTTGTGACAGGTTTACTTTATGATGGGGAGATTATATTTGTGGTCAAGACAGTGCAATGCAAGGGCGGTGCTTTCCTTCCCTCCAGCTTTTATAAAGGGACTGTTCTGTGTGTCATCACAGCATTGAATCCTACAGTCTTGTAAATGTTATAAATAGATCTTAGATAAACTGCAATTTACGCTTACTGACCCTTTTACTATTGTCTTTTAAGGTAGACTCTCATCTACATGTACTTCTTGTTCAGCGCTAGTCATTTGTAACTATCACATGTGACACCATTTGCTCTTAGAAGTTGCTGTTTTCTGCAGCAACTCTCAAACCTGCTTCCTAATGTTGTATTTGACCCCTGTCGGAAGGTGTCTTTTATAGGCAGCATTGATTTTCTGTGTTGTACCTTTATTCCTTTAGAAACCTGAGTTCGGCGGGAGAAGAGGCTCGCAAGCAGATGAGATATTGTGAAGGGCTGGTAGACTCCCTCCTCTTTGTGATTCAGACCTGCGTGAACACATCAGATTTTGACAGCAAGGTATCTATTGTTATTTATTCTGGTAGTATTAGCACACTTTTACATAGTGACGTTTACTATGCATTAAGCTTTTCGCTGTGCTTAGAACCTCAGCCATAGGCTATCTCCTCCAGACTTTTTGCACATTTGCAGAGATGTTTCCGTATAAGTTTTTTTTAGCTTTGTATACTACAATTCATTGTCCCCAGAGACAAAAGAGTTAAACACAAATCCCCCAGCTGCTTTCCTCCAGGGATTCTAATCAATTAGATTATGGCAGGTCACATGGTTCTACATGTGTCTGCGCTGCAGGTGGTACCAAGTGTTCTGGATTCATAGGTCTCAGTGCTGAACGTCAGATAAACAGCTAAATATAGAGATTAAAAGAATGCGTGGGAGCATTTTTACCTGCCAAATGTAATTTTGGATAGTCAGTCCTGAGATTAGGGCCTAGTTCACATAGGCTTCAGTACACATCACATTTTTGGTAGGCTTTTGCAAAGTATTTGTAAAGCTCCCAGCAAACCTTGAGCGGCTTAAGCACCCTTCAACTCCAGTTTGGGAATGTTAGACACATCTTAATGGGAGTTCTGACTGTCACGTTAAAGGTAGAGTCTAATTAAATATAAATGCACACATATACATAAGAAATAATCGTGTTTATTTTTTTTGGGGGGGGAAGGGGGCTCTGGAGCCAGTACAGCATTGCAACCACCATCAGTGGATATCAGGATATGCAATGCTATGGCTCCTGCAGACTCTTCCTCCTGTCAATGTCCATATCGAGGTACAGATATTCCGTAACATGGACAGGAGGAAGACTCAAAGGACTTTAGTGCGGTGACATCACCGCACTTGTATTCCATTGAGAGCAAGTCCCTCTGTTGTGGCGCTTGATGGCACACACAGCTGCACCATTAAAAAGAGTAGTAGCCTGTGGGGAGAAGAACACTGCGATTCAGGTAAGTGGAGGAGCGGGATGGGGGTTAGTGTGGATGTTGACTATGTTACACCCTGAATATGCGTGTAACATTAAATATGGTCTAAAAGGTAAACTTAACCTTTAAACAAGCTGCTAGCAGACTCTTGTAGGCTTTTGGCAAGATCAAGCTGTGCTTAAACTGTATTTCCACTTTTGCAGCCCAATTGGGATAACCTATATTTATATTTGTTGTACTGTATGTTCCCATTCATATAGCATAAGCTTTAAAAAAATGCTTCTTGCAGTTTAAATTGCTTTTTACTTTGGTTAGGGTTTCTTGGCTTCTTGAGGGTTAACATTTCTACCTGTTTCTGTTGCTTTATGTTAGGAGGGGTTGTGATGGGTTAAAGTAGAACTATGGGGTTAGGGCTTTTCCCCATAGTTCTCCTTAGGGTAATGGGAGGACACAAACTAGCGTCCTCCCGTCACCCTAGCCTCAGTATACCGCGAGCTACAGCTTGCGGGAAAAACTGAGACGCCGCAGCTGAAACGGATCCCGACAATTATGTCTGGATCCGCCCAGCTGCGTGACTGACAGCTGGCTCTGCCTATCTAGAGGCAGAGCTAGCTGTACCCGCCCCCTCCACCGTCCGTTCCGCCAGTCAGCGCTGGCGGATCGGAGGGGGGAATCCAGCCCCTCCCCTGTCACGGCAGAGAGCTGTGGCAGGATCGAGAGGTGAGCGAACGCCGATATGTGTTCGCTCACCTCCCGATCTACTGAGCCAACCTGTGACAGTCTCATCGTCACAGGTTGGCTAGAACTATGAGGTGAGTGAAAAGCACTCACCTCATAGTTCTCCTTTAAATGATTACAACCCTGATTTCTGCATTCAATTGTTAAAGGAGAATTTTGGGGAGAGCGAATTACATTCATCCTCATAATTAGAGCCGACGTGTGACACTGCAGCTGTCACCATTGAGCGCTATAAATCGAGAACTGAGCGATTTACATACTGTCGATCGCTCATTTCCCGATCCTCTCTCAACAGAGAACAATGACTGTCAGTCACCGCTCCCCACAGGGCTTCCCCTCTCTGTACCTCCAGCGCTGACTGCAGGGACGGACGGGTGAGGGGGCGGGCACAGCTGGTTTTGGCTCTAGAGAGACGGAGCCAACGTTCAATCAGGCAGCAGGGGGTGGATCCCGACAAAATTGTCGGGATCCTTCCTGGCTTCACTGCGGCTCTGTGCAGTCAGTATATAGTGGGCAATAGCTCGCGATATGCTGAGTTTTGGGTCACAGAAGGACATTAGTATATGTTCTCCTGTGACCCTAAAGAGAACTATGGTGAAAACAAAAGTTCTCTTTTAATGAAGTTAATGAGAGAAACAATATCCTCAAATTTCATTCTTAAGTCTTTCTAGAAGAACAGATCCCTGTGCTCAGAAAAACCTGGGTTCTTCAACAAATCTTGCTGAAAGCTTTTCAAATGCTCAATGAAAACTTGCTGTTCACACTGCCCTTATACAAGCTGAAGCCTGTGCGAACTTGTCCTAACATAGCCAGCTGGCCTCACTTTTCTGTACAGCAATGCAGTTATATAGCTTGGTCACCTCCCTGGCCCCAGCCAGGGACTGTACAACGAAGCAGCAGGCTGGACATCTCTCTGTTTTTATTATCTCTAAATTAAAGTCTGTGAGTCAGCTGAGTGAAAGCAATGCGGTCTCTATAAATTTTCTTGCAATTGGAATTTTCTTGGTAACTGGTTAGCCAGAATGTTGATTTCCTTTCTCTGGCATATATACAGATGCTCGAAGGAGAATCCACCGGTGTGTGCATGAAGTAAGAATACAAAAATTTGGAAATTGCAATTATGTAAAATGTTATCACAATATTGTATTCTCTCTATAGGTTGATCCCGATGGACTTGTGTCTTTTTTCAACCTGAGTAACTATGTAATAAAAAATATTCTTGGGTAACTTTAAAGTCTAAAAAAAAAAAAGTGTATTCAACAAGAATACCATAGTGTGGGAACCTGAGATTTCAATACCACTGGTGAAGAATCTCACCCAGGAAAATAGCACTGTGGGTGCAGTGGGTGGCAGAGCCCAAATCCAGCATATTGTTATGTATGGCCCAGATAATTGCCCAAATTCTAATCAGTGAGAATGACAGTCAGGTTTCCTTTATAGTCTGCTTGTTGGAATATATTCATTAAATTCTGTAATTGTTCTGCAAGCCATTAGGATTAGGACCAGCTGTTAAAAAAGCACGTAATTTCTTTCTTTGTGAGATGGCAGTAAGCCTTTCTGCGGCATAACGAATTATCTAGCGTTTCTCGCAGCCATATGGAGTGTTTGAGAGTGTCCGACCCTGACAGCCTGCCTTCCCTCTCTTGCAGACAGTGGAGAACTGTGTCTGTACGCTAAGAAACTTATCTTACCGCCTAGAATTGGAAGTGCCTCAAGCTCGCTTGCTGGGAATTAATGAAATGGAGGACTTCTGCAAGGAATCCCCCAGCAAGGACTCGGACTCGAGCTGTTGGGGTAAAAAAAAGAAAAAGAAGAAAAGGCCGCCACAGGAAGAGCTGGTGAGTGCAAACAGAGGATTGTGGGAAAGAATATAGAGATAGCAGCCATGATGCTTCAGCAGCTTTATCCTGCTACTGGGTGATCTTGGCTGAGTCTTTTTGTGTTCTTGAGCAACTGTAGTGATGTTTGTAAAATTATTACTTTATTGGCTGGCAGCATCAACAACACACAATATTCAAGAGGTAACTATACTTGCAGGGTGGTTGCAGCAGCAAATGATCATAGGGCTCTGTGTTGGACTGAAAGCAACCTTTCTCCTGAAACCGCCCTCTAGTGTCATCAGTTATAGCTTCAACAATATTACAGCAGGTTATACTACACCAGAAGGCGGCAGGCAAGAGTCCCGGCAAGACTGCTTCTGTCATTGATCACTTGCTGTATTTGTACTGGCTGCAGGGGCAAAGCTTGATAAAGCGATTTAAACTGACAGTGCGATTATTCTTTAATTAGTCATTTGTTATTACATCTGGAAGCCAATTATTAGTTTAGAGCTCAAAGTAGTTATTTAGCGTTGATGACAATTTTACTTTAAAGGGAACCTCCTGTGTTATCATAAATGTTATAAATAATAATGCAGCTTAAGACTAGGTGACACCAAATGTCTGCAAGTAAATTTATTCCACAAAATCATCATTTGTACCCCTGCTGAGGCAAAAGGTGAAGCCTGTGTACAGAATGGAATCAGGGTGCCCCCTGCAAAGGACGTATTGAGTAATAAGTTAGTATGTGCCTTGAAACATCTGCCATTGGGCTGTGATAACAACCAGAATTTGAAGATCGTTAAAATAACTTTGCATGCAAAAGCAACATTGCTACAATGGCTTTTCAATCCTAAGAGTCGGCGAGGGTCTCAGTAGTTCTTGATATTTTTTATGGGACCAGCTTTGTTCATCATATATAATCATCATTATAATTGTGCTTAGTTGTCCTTCCACCATTCTTCTGTCTGTGGCCATTCAACCTTCACATCAAGCCAGTGCTGTGGTCCAAGGTTTCAGGCCAGTTTCCTAGCAAATAGGAGTTGTGAGCAGGTATCAGGTTGTGAACCTATAGTGTACATAAAGCGTGGTAGGTAGCCATGTCTTGTACATTTTACTGTGTACAGATCTTAAAGACGCTGGAGATTTTTTTAAAGAAGATATTTGACAGCTGTTTGGTTTGTGATTATTTCTTTTATTCTCTTGCAGTGGGATGGTGTGGGCCCCATTCCTGGATTATCTCAGTCTCCGAAAGGTGTTGAAATGCTCTGGCACCCCACTGTAGTAAAGCCATATCTAACTCTTCTGGCCGAAAGCTCAAACCCGGCCACTTTGGAAGGTTCTGCCGGGTCTCTTCAAAATCTTTCTGCTGGGAACTGGAAGGTAATATCACTGGCATATTAATCAGTCTGAAAGTAAGGTCACAGTGAGGTACTTTATGGTTAATTGATGTGGGCTGTTGCACTTTGCTCTTTATCAAGAGGGTTAGAGGGATGAAGGGCAAGGTTTTGCTCATCAGCTGTTGAGGAACTCAAACATCAATATTTAATGCACCAGCTAGACCTTTTAGTTCTTCTGAGATTTACCAATTCCTGCCCACTATGCATAGTGCCTGCCTGCTGTGTAAATGTGTTTAACTCTCTCGCAGTGTCACAAAATTACATTTTATTCATTTAAATTCAGGTGAGCTGCAGTGAGTGATGATGACTTCAGGTTTTCTCAATGCACTGCAACCCACCTCATGGCAGCTCTGTGGCTTGAAAAGTTGTTTATGTGCCCAGGCATTAAGCCTGCATTGATCTGTGCAGATCAATGTAGCTTGGCTGAACTGGAAGCCTTTAGAAGTGCATAACTGATCCACTAATAAAGCAATCAGCATTGCAGTTGTATGCACAATTATATGTTTAGTTTTAAAAGGGGTTACAAATAAGAGTAATTGGTATGGCTTAAAAGAAATGAACGGGTGAATACATTTTTAGGGAGCGCTAATGTTACACAATATTAAAGTTGAACCCTAGATAGATGCAACTTTTTTTAATTCAGTTTTGAATGCTCTGAATGGTGACGACCTCTTTCCGGTATGCATTGCTGTATGTGTCCCTCACTATTTGTTTTGGTGACCAGTGTCGCTGGGGCAAAAAAGTGATGGTAAAACACATGTTTTCAGTTGTCACTGGACAAGGGCAGATAGGGATACATTCTAATGAGGACACCGCTTCTGGTGACAACCGTCAGCATTGACATTTCATATCTCCATCTTTGGGGAAATTTCCAGGTCATATTTTTGTATCTTGGGCATGAAGTCGGGACATCTGTCAGATGGGGGGACCCTGAAATAGCTTGTAATGACCCTTCCCTGTTTTATTCAAAGCTTCAAAAAGTTTTTTTCTAGAGTTCCACTTTATAGGAAGAAATTGTGTATACAAATGTAGTGTTTGTGTCTAACTTTTTTTTTTTGATCAATAATTTTCATGTATGAAAAAAATAAGTTTTAATTCTTTTCGTTACATTGTGAGAGAGTAGAAAAAGGATGATTTAATACGCAATATACAAGATTAGTAATGCGCTCATTATGGCTAAAGCAGTAAACCTGATTTGCCTTTGAAAACTTTGAGTAATAGATGCAGTGCCCGGCTACAGGGAAATAATGCAGGTTTTATAAACCACATTAGTACTGTATGATTCCCAATTTGTACCCCTTTTTTCTTAAATTACATTAAAACATACCGATCCTAAATTCAATTAGTTATCCTTAGGAACGAGTTAATAAAGTGATGCAATGCTGGATAACCTAGGATCATTCATGAAGGGGTCAATAGTCTTATATTTAATAATGTGTTTGTCTGGTTCAGGCCTCTGGATATTACATTCAGCTACTAGCAGTAATGAATATTGGATAGCAAGGCAGAGATGACCGGTGAAGTATCTCCTGCCAGCATTGTAAATAATCTGCTGTCTTCCCTCTGTCTCTGCAGTTTGCAGCATACATCAGAGCGGCTGTCAGAAAGGAGAAAGGACTGCCCATACTGGTGGAGCTGCTGAGGATGGATAACGACAGAGTGGTGTCTTCTGTGGCCACGGCACTGAGAAATATGGCATTAGATGTCCGCAACAAAGAGCTAATTGGTACGTAGTGAAGGCACAGAGATTTATGGTTGTATTGATTGCTGAGGAATTATTTTATAAGTTGATAAAACATTCCCATTTTATCCTCTCCCTTTAGAGTAAACTATTTTTGCTCATATCACAAGACAGAAAACTTACACTGACCCAGGACAGCTAAATGTGAGAGTAGAGACCTAGTAATTGCGTTCCCTGCGAAGGCCAACATGTACTTCATTTCAAGGAAACCTGCAATATGCTGACTTCCGTTCGAAAATGCGTAATGTCCAGCAGTCATGGTGATCCTTTTGTTTAAAGCAGAGCTGCGGGCATGAATATTTTAATTTAAATATATTCATCAATAGCAACAAAGGATATAAATCCACTTTGCATACGACAAATACATTTGCAAACCCGCATATCACCTTAGTGGTCATTGTGCTGTACATAACCTGTGCAGATACTCGATTATTGCACATATCTGGAAGGAATACGCATATCAGACCAAACCTCAATTACGAAAACATGTGCCTCTTGTATTTAGACAATATTTGCTTATCCCAGAGTTCAGCTTTAATGAACCCCAACAAAAAATCTCATGTAAGCTATATTATTGTAGTCCTAAACCCTATAAAAAGGTAGAGTTTTGGGCTAGGAGAGACTTTGTTTGTCTTTTCTGCCAATCAACTTCCCCTAACAGTTATTGTCTTTGTTCACGCTGCTTGTGCACTCCTGGCCCAAAAAAATATAAGATGAATAGAATGGAGGCGGGTGCGGCGATGATGCACAGGAGTAGCATCATCCATAGGCAAAAGGGGAGGACCAGAAAAAGTGGCATAGATTAAGATGGTGGGGCAACAACAAGTGTGGACCTGTAGATTAGGGGGAAAGTCTTCCATGGGAGAGTTTCCCCTGCAGCATGCAGTTTAGTTCCGCTTTAATATAACTCTGAAGGCTGTTTTTCATATTTTTTAATTTGCAGCTGTCATTAAGATATTTGGTGATCCTGTAGTGAAGGCCCTTGTTTGGGCACTTCTATAATAGGGTGGCAAAGATCTGTGGCAAGGGTGGCAAGTTGTGCCCCTGTCTTGTTACCCTGTCACAGGCTACAAGTGGCCGTTCCAACATGCAGGCCTAGTACATTGCTGTCATTATCGGGAAGCTAAAATAAGAATTTCCCCCAGCATACCTTGGTGTAGTGATAATCTTGTTCTTTATTTCTAAAGAGAAGCATCACAAGCCAGTAGGAAGCTACTACAGAGCAATGGATGTGGCAGTTGTTTAATGCACAGTGCTTTTTAGTAAAATAAATGTCTCAGTCACTAAACAAGTGTTTTTGGGTTTTGTTTTTTTTTGTTTTTGGAGGGGGGAGGGGTTTAGAAGCACACCAATCTACTAAACCTGTGACCTCAGAGCAGAAAATGGTGGCAGAAAGCTCTAACTTTCTTAATCCTGCCATACTCCGGCACCATGCTGTTTGACACCTTTAAAAGTATTTTTTAAGCCAGATTTAGTTTTAACATCAGAGTAGAGAAGGGCTAGAACCCTTGTTGGATTTTCATTGCTGTCTGAGTCTCTGCCAGGGGGGACACCCTCTCTATTTGTCCTTATGTCCATTGTAACTAGGGCAGAAAAGTAAGAGTTGCAATATTTTACAGTCGCTAGAAAAGAAATGGAGGAGAAATCTTCTAACAGGAGTGTCTCTACTCATGGTAATGCAGAGAGGATTTCCCCTCACTTCGTTTTTGTCTCTGAACAAGGAGTGAAGGAAAATCTCCCAATGACCAGGCACAGGCTTAGAAAATCTTCCTATGACCAGGCACAGACCGTTTACAAAATTATAAGTATTTTATTGATACTGTCCAAGTACTAACAGATACAATCACTAATACATTTTTTGTTTAGTATCATATGACAGTTTTTCTAAAATAATACAGACTAATGATTTCAGGACAGTGGGGGAGCGCCAAAGCCCGGTCACAGTTGCAACCGCTGCAACCCTGGTAGTTCTAGTGAAAAGGCCAAGTATCGGCACCGATACAGCTACTGGTATCTGAACATCCCTAAATTGTAACCATTTCCCACTCTATTCAAAACTGGGGGATTGTTTTTTTTTCTCTAGATACACTTTAACACTTTCCTATCAATTTTAAACTGCAGCAGGATTTGCATAAATACTTATGGTTTTAGGTAACATTTCACACCATTGTTTCCAGTTAATGAATTGATATGTATGATATACATAGTGCATGTTTTATTTTCATGTGTCTTTGCCCATATTTATTTTCCTTTGACAGGCAAATATGCAATGCGGGACCTGGTGAACCGGCTTCCAGGGGGCAATGGCCCCATCGTTTTGTCAGATGACACTGTGGCTGCCATCTGCTGTGCTTTGCATGAGGTCACCAGCAAGAACATGGAGAACGCAAAGGCTTTGGCGGACACCGGAGGAATTGAGAAACTAGTGAACATCACCAAAGGAAAAGGGGAAAGGCATGTATTCCTCAGATGTGTAATCTGCTGGCCTGAGACAGACATTTTGTGCAATGAGCACATTTTGGCTCTGTACATTCCCAAGATCAGCTGGGCCTTCTCTTTTCAACAACATCTTGTAACTTGTTGCTTTTAATTATTAATTTCTGCAAACTTGTTCACAGCACACCACTCCGTATAAATGAATGCAATACATCTGCACTTTCTGAATTTCCATAAACATATTATCCATTTCTACACTCATCCGTTCATTAATTCATGCTACATCTTCATTAGAAACATCTGGTCATTTGGTTTCACAGCAGGAGCGAAGGGACAGCGAAGAGTCATGTTCTTATCAAAATTGTATTATCCTTCTTATTAGATTTAATCCAAATTTCATTTCTTTGCCTACTTGAAAGTCACGGCGTCTTGCCTGTATGCCGTTACATTGTCAGTTTAATACAGTTCATCTCTGTTTTTACATCTCCAGGTATTATGAATCAAATTATGACCTGGTGAAAGTAGCTCATTAAGGATTGCCAAGCTTTTCAGTCATTTGAACTCTTAAGTTATCATCATGGTGTTCCCAGGATGGTTCATTTTGGATAATTTCTAGTGCATTATTAGGCTAGCAGTCTGTTTGGGGGACGCTCAGTTAACATTTGTTTTAATTCATTGAACAAAAACAAAAGTTTTTTAAACTCTTAACTCTGATTTTGCTGTAAAGCAGCTACAGTCAGAATAAATGAGCCTGTCCTCAGCCTGCATGCTGCAGAGAGTGACTTTGGGGTCTGTGTGGAGGCAGCAGTCTCCCTGCAGCAGTCCAACAAACCCCCTGCTGAGTCTGAGCTAGAGCTGTGCAGTCAGGAAAGCTCATGCTCTCTGCTTATTGCACAGCTCTAGCTCAGATTTAGAGTGGGCGGTGGGGTGTTCGACCACTGCGTACACCTGAATAGCATTGGTCTTCTCTACAGCATGCTATTGAGTAAAGGCTGATTGAATCTGGCTGTGGCTACTCTACAGAAAAAAGAAATTGTAGGGCTGCATTCACACATAAGTGGCACCTATTGCAGGCGTCTTTTTTGAGCGTTTTTTGCACACACTTTACATGCCTACAGTAAGTTGCACATTAATGTGAGCCGATTTTGGCATTTTTGTGAGAATGGGCAAAACGCGTGCAAAAAACTTGCAGTGCACGTTTTTCAAGCGTTTTCTATTGAGTCTATGGGACAAAAGGTGCTGAAATCTGCCCAAAGTAGCTCATGTACTATTTCGTAGGTACTCATTGAACCTCATTAGATTCTAATGGTTGCATTACAATACTAGATATTACCAGTAGGTGATGCTGCAGATAAAATCTAAACGGTGCATCCGTGTGACACCAAGTTGCTGTGTATAATAGAGGGGTTCTCGGGTACTATATGGAGAGGGGGTCTTGATCAAATGATTATTTACATGCAGTCTAAAAATGCACACTGGTTTACTTCTAAATGAATGTATGAACGGGGTGCTGCTTTCCCTCCTTGGCAGTTGTTTTGTGAGTCATACCAACAGTGCTGAGATTACACGTATTTCTCCTGAGCCAATAAATAATATGTTGGCAATCTCAGTGTGCATTTCAGGCACATGGTTCATAGGTCTGATGTCTCCCAATCCCTCACTGAACCTTCCACTTGGAGTATTTGTGTTTTCTGGGATATCTGTAGTTTTCTAGTTCAGATTCAGACTTACTGATTCCATTAAAGCTTTCAAATGTCATCTGTGACTGCCGTTATTTCTACCCACTGTGATTACTGTTGGCTTTTGAATAATCTTTTTATGGGTTTTTTTCTTACAGATCTTCGTTGAAAGTGGTGAAAGCAGCAGCCCAGGTGTTAAATACGTTGTGGCAGTATCGAGACCTCCGTAGCATTTATAAGAAGGTACTTCTGCCATGATATGTTCACATTTTACATTTGTGTTATTACACTTCTGTGTGCTCTAGAGTTCATGTTGTGTTGCCAGATGGTTTTAGTTGACTACACACCGAGAAAGATCATTATATAATGTGACTTTTGGGGTTTTTTCCTGTTATGTTGACAGTATTGCTGCACATGACATCTGAACAATTGCAAGGCACCCATATCATGGAACTGTAAGGGACATAGGATGATATGATTCTAAAATACAGCTTGCTGCACATTCTTGCTGCTCCTGTCGCCAGGCAAAATAGATCATAGGTTTTATATTTTCACACAGTTGACATTTTGGATCCGAAACAAATATCCAGATTTTTTTTTTCCTCCTGTATGCTCACAATACAGTTCGTGGTTTTTGCTAATGGAAATTCCTACACTGTATGGCCTGCCACAAGCTCCCATGTTGAGAGTGAAGCCAGGCTTCGTCCAGTCATGTTACCAAGAGTTAATAACCGTGGTAAACCAGAAAGTTGTTTGTGATATGAGATAAACTGTAGCAGGAGAAATAAAAAGTGAGACATTATGTCCAGTGATTCCTGAGCAAAGATGTTTACAATGGAACTGTATAGATTTGACCTAGATAACAACCTAAAAAACACAATGCTGTGCTAATAAATTCAGCCTCTCTCTGCTTCTTACTGTAAAGGAGCAGGGAGGGAAGGACCACTGTTTAATCCTTGCAAGCTGTAATTCTGGAATAAACCAGAAGGGTCATTGTCTAGCCATTTAAATACTTTCATATTCTTTACAATCAGTAAATATACGTTTTAACACACACCCTCACTGACCCCACTGCAAGAACAGTGGAGAAATTCATCCTCAATATTTACAACAGAAGCACTGAATCCCAACCCAGTTTCCCTTTGCCTTCTAATGTAAACAAACACCAGGTAATCTAAACTGTTCAGAAACCAGCTGAAAACTGACTTTAGAGTATCTGTTGGGACCCTTGAGGATGAATTTTTCCACAGTCTGTGCAGCTATGCAGACCAGTGAGCGTTTGTTTTGGGGCCCATTCAAACAAGTGGGCATGCAGTGGTAAGTGTTGTGTATGTGAGCTGTAATGCATTGTTACAATGCATTGCTTGCCTTTTTTTTTTTCCCATCAACTTTATTAAACTGGGACTTTATTCAACACTATGCCCAACGTTAATCCACTCAGAACATCACATCTCAATACACCTGGTGTGAATTAACGTTTATTTACTTCTTGCAAAGATTATAAGTAGTTTAATGTCCATATTTTGGTCCCAGCTTCATGTTAAAGCCTTTTGACTAGAGTCACTCTAGCAAAGATAGGAAATACTACTACTATTATTAAGGTTACCTGTATGGTTTACATCAGCTACTTCCAAAACAATCCATTCAATATAAATGGTGAAAGGTTTTAAAAGCACAGTCCGCACAGGAGATGTATAAAAAAAATATGGAATAGTGGGGATCAATACTACCTGTTGAGTATTCCTAAGAAATCTACCTTTTTTTCCTTGCTGCCGCCTTTTTCCTTCTGCTGACATACAGAAATAGGCTGCACATAAAAGTTACATAAATGTCAAACATTTCAATTTCTGTTCAGCCGTGGAGACTCTTATATCCACAGTTGTGAATGTTTTTTTATAGCTCTGTCACATAATGTTTATCATTTAATTGCGGTCTTTTAATGAGCTTTTCTTTGCAGGATGGATGGAATCAGTCTCATTTTATCACTCCAGTTTCCACATTAGAACGTGACCGATTCAAATCCCACCCGTCTTTATCGACCACTAATCAGCAGATGTCACCCATAATCCAGTCAGGTGAGAAGCGAATCACATGATACGAGGAAAGGTCTGCACACAACCAAGAGGCACAAGCATATCCTTACACAGCACAAAACCGTCCCCAGCACTGTGCATCTGTCATGGAGCCAGTGCTGCTCTTTTAACACATGCTGATTTTGACAAGACTGTCTGATTCCGGTCCCTGCAGCTTCAGACTCTTTCATTTCCATTAATGTGCTTGGCAGACATGGAGGCAATTTGACAGCAAACTAAGCTTTGCATGCTAAGATGTATTACTAAAATAATCACTGCGTGCCTAGGGCATGGCTTTACCTAAACATTTCCCCAGACTTTAGTGTGTGCTCTGCACGGTGTAACCGCTTTCATTGAATGTACAGAATCTGAACACTTGGGTCATCTAATTTGCTTTTTCTAATATGTTTTACTTGTTTTTAAGTCTCATTTGTTCTTTTCTAATCCAATGACTGTCCCTGGAATAGCTTTATAATGGGAATCCTATGTTTTAAAGAGGAGAATATGAAATGTATATTTTACTTTCCTCCTATGTCTGTGAAGGTTCTAATTTTTCCAGGTCATGGTATAGCTTTTAGGTAGTCATATTAAACTGGACTACTACTGTAATGGTGAAGACATTTTGCAGCTTATCCAAGCATCTTCTTCCGTTCTAATGAGGTATCAGGAACATAACCTGGCCAGTTTCTGGACAATCAATATCTGCCTTGATACATTGCATGGTGATTGGATTAAGGTGTCTGTGCTTGGATATAAATGCTGAGGTATGTTCCTGGCACTCAGTACTAAAAAGGCCGCTTGGAAAAGTACCAGCTATTTCAACCAATAGGTAAACAGATTTTGTCAGGTCTGTAAAGATTTAGGACAAAATGTATACTCGCCTCTCTCTGGGGATCATTTCTTCCACCTCTCCTCTGTTCCAGCAGTGCAGCCTCTGTCAATTTCAGACTTCTGGTAATGTTGACTGCCTGTGTCCCCCAGGCGCTGATTCCTTCCTCCAACCTCTGTATCGCTGCAGGACTCAGCAGGGAGGTCAGGGTTGGAGAAAGGAATGGCAGTTGTGGTGAGTAATAACCGTGCAGGGGAGTGCTAGATTGAGACCTGACAGGTTCTCTTTTAAAGCAGAGCTAACTTGCCACGGTTCCAACTTTTTTGCCACCGCTGACATCTTTGCCTGGGCTTCCAGGTTCAGCATCTTTGGCCGTCCTTGGATAACATAACTCATGGGCATGGGAGTTAATGTGTTTTCAGCACAGCATGGTACAGAGAGCTGTGCATGTGCAATATACAGTCCGGTAATCCACTGAAATAAATTAATAGATTCCTATTGCTGACTGACAGACTGCTTGCATCTTCAAGAGATCGGCTGTGGCAGGCTACTTATTTCTCTCAGCACAGTTTTCTGTTTAAATTACATATTTCACAAAAACACTATCGAAATTAAGGCAAAATACTAATGACCCAAGACAGATGTCTGCCAATGTTAAATCCCACACCCCTGCGTGCAGAACAAGGGTTTCTGTGTACGTTCAGGGCTACAACACCCCGTTGCAGATTTTGTAATCTAGGGAAGAAGCAAAAGTTAACCAGTAACTAGTATAGCACTGCCTCACTGGAGGTGCAAAATATTTGGGATTCATTCATACCTATGTATGCACGTTGGTAAGACGTGTGTATTAAAGTTCCTTTTGTATTTCTTTAGAAACAAACTAAACATCAGTGCATAGATGTAAACCAGCCATATAGGAAAGAATGGGATTTATACTTGAAATACATATTCATGAACTAACATTCTGCAGGAAAATGGGCAAGTGTGAATAGGCCCTAAAACTGCAATACAAGAATGTATACAGAACTCGCATTCAAAGTGTATGCCCAACCAACATTCTTTCTTAGTTTTGGGTAGGGCGAGAGAGGATTATAAGCCCTAGCCGGTTTTTGCTTTTATCCAGGACTTCTGTCATGCTGACCTTTTACCTGACAAGAAGTGGGGAGATCTCTCCAGAAAGTCAGCCAATAATGGAACAACAGATAGCATGAACACCAGGCAGAGGTTCTAGTCCTTCCCAAACTTATCCAAAAGTAAATAAAAGTTGTGAGCTTGACATACTTTAAGACAAGGCTTTATTATTATTATACAGGATTTATATAGTGCCAACAGTTTGCGCAGCGCTTTACAATATAGGGAAGACATTACAATCAATACAATTCAAGACAAGATGGTAAGGAGGGTCCTGCCCATAAGGCCTTACAATCTAAAAGGGAGGGGCAAGTGATACATGAGGAGGGAGCTGTGTGGGGATGAATTGTTTGAGAAAGTGATAGTTCAGTGGTTAGGTTGAGGTGGGGTAGGCTTCCCTGAAGAGATGAGTCTTAAGGGATCGCCTAAAGGCACTCAGAGTGGGAGATAGACAGGTTGGGTTAAAGAGTTCCATAGGATGGGAGAGACTCTAGTGAAGTCCTGGAGGCGAGCATGGGAGGAGTTGATGAGGGAGCTGGAGAGCAGGAGTTCCTTTGAACAGCGGAGGGGACGGTTAGTGTGATACTTTGAGACAAGGTTTGAGATATAGCTGAAGAGACTTGGGTCTATATTGAGGCTTTCTTGGAACAGTCTTTTGTAAATAGGTTTGTGAAACCCTCTCCAATAACTTTTACTATGGAATTTCTGTCACCGAACCTTTGTGGCTCAATAGAATAGAATTCTAAAGCCAGGTTTCCATGATTCCAGTGACCATTCTATTCTGTACACAGAGGTGCTCTGTGTATATACAGACCACACATACCCGCCCCTCGCACTGCTGCCTCTATATTGTGAAGGATTACTTCTTAGAGGAATCTGAGACAGTCATTCATTGTGTTTGATAAGCTGTGATAATAAAATCCAATATTAATAATGCTTCTTTTTGTCACACTACAGTGGGCAGCACATCATCCTCACCAGCTCTGCTAGGCATTCGGGAGCCACACTCCGGCTATGAGAGAACGCAGCCCTCTATGCAATACTACAACAGCCAAGGAGAGTCCCTGGTTCACAAGGACATATACAGTGGTAAGGGAACCCTTGCTGTCTTTACACTAATCTGACAGTGTGGTCTGAAAGTCCTGCTGTAGCAACTCATCAAAAGTCAGCCCAGGATTTTTTTAAAGCTGCTTTCTACTAAGAGCACCATACTGCTTTTTCTACCATGGTAACAATGCTCTAATTCTATAATCATTGATGTGTGCTCAGAATATGCATATAGAGGACGTTATTTCATACCCTGTAGCAGTGTTAAACTGTACAGTTTGTTATGAGTACTAGTGACCAGGACAACGCAAAGTGAACCTATGAAAGTGAAGCTATGTGTTAACATGTTCATAACAGCAGTACATGAGTTTTAAAACAAACGCTGTCTGACCTCCTGTAGGTGCAGGCACCATGGAGCAATTCATTCTCAAGGATCACAGCAAAAGCACTAGAGTTCAAGTCCTTGTCACAGCAGTTTAGCTTTCCCTGAACCCCACTCCAAGCATTGACTCAGAAGCTTAGCTCATCCTTCTGCTCTGTGTTTACCTTCCTGATTAGAAGGCTATTGAGTCACTGCAGAGAGGGGTGCAAGGTGAGCTGAGCTTCACTGAGGCAGCTTGGTGGATTCTGAGGGGCTCTTATGTGGATGTTAAGGGGATGTGGTTAAAATTTGAAGTCTGTAAGTTAAGTCTTGGTTTAGTTTGCAGGACTTGGATCTGGATCACTAAGATATCTGCTTTTTAAAGGATAAGTGACTTTAAAACACGGAGAGGGGAATGTATCAAAACTGGAGCATGGCAGCCAATCAGCTTCTCTATTCGGTTTGATCAGTTAAGATCTGAAAATGAAAGAGAGAAGCTGATTGGTTGCCATGCACAGTTGCTCCAGATTCTGTCTGCTCCAGTTTTGATAAATCCCTCCTAGAGTGCTTACCCTTTAGCCCTCTTTAAGCTCCCACTCCCTTCCCCGGTGCGGAGATGAATATATGTTGCATTCCGATGGGCCCGGCCTTGGTTGTTTGTTGCACTTAGTACAGCACCCAAAGAGATGATGGTGTCATGTACATCTTTTAAGTTATTTACCTTAACCCACAATCTTCCATCACGCTGGTTCCAGTTATGACCTCTCTGCGTGCCAGTCACTGATTGGTCTTATTGCTGCCCCTCTTGTCGACATCATTATGCATACAGTATATGTATTGTAGTGAGTACAGGACCTGCACGTCGTCAGAATGGGATGTGGGTGCCGCTAGAAGCGGCCACCTACATTCCATCACTGAAGAGCGGAGGAGACGTGGCTGTCGGGGACCACAGATTAAGGCGAGTATAACTGTGTGAAACATTACGTAAGTGAAAAAAATAGAGGGGGGGTGTCAAGTGGATCTCCAGCACTCATTTTACCCATGTTATCAAAGACTAGAAAAATAAAGTTAAACATTTTGGCTGTAGTTGAGCTTTAAGAGATTACAGTCTAGTTTCTTTCCACAGAGAAAGCAGGAGCTATTATGTAATGCTATGAGATTCAAAGGCATCCAGCTTAATGAGGTTCCTGATACCCCTTTATTGTAAACACTGTGGGAATACAGCATGAATTGAAAGCAATTTATTACGCCTCTCATAAGTAATGAATTGTGACAGTTGTCAGATTATACCGGAGTGGAGCAGCTGTCTGCTATGTCTCCAGTCTTTCCATGCTTCCCACCAAAGCTTAGTCTGGAAGAGTTCATTAAGAGGAGCGTCCCCCCTGGGAGGAGTAGGGGTGTCTGTGCCATTAACTTTCAGAAGAGAATTCATTAGTAAGGGCACCTATATTGTCACTGGGAGTATATAATCAGAGGCCACTTCTCACTTTGTGGGGCAGAAATACTCATTTTCAGCAAACACCCAGATCATGGAACAGTTAGACTCATAGTATAAGCAGCTATTTCAATGTAGCATTTTGTTTCGCTTACATCTAGTACTGTCACTGTAACACTTTATGTAGATTTTTTTCCAATACAAGTGCAGCATTTTTTTCTGCCTCTCCGTGTTCGCTACACTGTCTTCCTAAGAATTTTGCTCATCAATCACCTCAGGAGTACCGCCTGTCTGTCGCATACTGTTACCTCAGAAGTACCACCTGTCTGTCGCATACTGTTACCTCAGAAGTACCACCTGTCTGTCGCATACTGTTACCTCAGAAGTACCACCTGTCTGTTGCATACTGTTACCTCAGAAGTACCACCTGTCTGTTGCATACTGTTACCTCAGGAGTACCACCTGCCTGTCGCATACTGTTACCTCAGAAGTACCACCTGTCTGTTGCATACTGTTGCCTCAGGAGTACCGCCTGTCTGTCACATACTGTTACCTCAGGAGTACCACCTGTCTGTCGCATACTGTTGCCTCATGAGTAACACCTGTCGCATACTGTCACCTCAGGAGTACCACCTGTCTGTCGCATACTGTCACCTCAGGAGTACCGCCTGTCTGTCACATACTGTCACCTCAGGAGTACTGCCTGCCCATCGCATATTGTCACCTCAGGAGTACCACCTGTCTGTCGCATACTGTCACCTTAAGGCTGGGTTCACACCTTAGCGTATTGGAAACTCGCGTTTGCCGCGCGTTTCTTACAGCGCGGTTTTACCGCGATTTGCGGTAAAAGAAACGCGCGTCAAACGCGAGTTTCCGAGGGGGTATCCGGTTGATAACAGCGGGATACGGGCGTCAATACGCCCCAAAGAAGCTCATGTACTTCTTTGGGCGTATGGCGTTTTATCCCGCGATCGAACGGGCGGTAAAACGTGCAGGTGAGAACCATGCCCATAGGCAAACATGGGTTTTCACCTGTTGCGCGTTTTACCGAGCGTAGGAACGCGCGTTAAAACGCTCAGGTGTGAACGGGGCCGAAGTGTACTGCCTGCCTGTCACATACTGACACCTCAGGAGTACCGCCTGTCTGTCACATGCTCAGGGCCGCATTTCCACCAAGGCCTGGCCTCGGGGCAGCAGGGGTGTGGAATTCCTATCTCCCGATGCCCGGGTGGGTAGTTTGCTACATTTAGCCCTGCTTTGGGGAAAGCAGGGCTAAATGTACAGCGGGGAAGCTACCGCTTGTTTTTGTACACGTGATCTCGGCGCCATTGTATGCAGCCTGCAGGTCTGCCATTCTCCATGA